TTCCATGCACGAGCTTAAGGTTGAATGCCGGATATATTTGGGAATTTTACGGAAAAATGCAAATGCAAACGAGTTAGAAAGCGTGGACATGACTAGGATCGCAACAACAGTAGTTTAATTTGTCCGCCCCTAACATCGTGGCCAGAGCCCACACAAAATGCAATGAGAGTTAAAAGGAGTCGTTAAAAACACCAACCTTTCAACTACGCTCTTATGGATGTCAATAAATCGCTCCGGGTCATCATCCTCTCCCATTTTCGGGTAAACAGAGGACAGATGGACACCGCCGATTGAAACCTTGCTCCAGACAGGCACTGCGAAGTCAAAGAAAAAGAGATGGTGAGGTTAAGGTCAAAATTGCTGTAACTTTATGCGTGGACAGATTTAACGAAGATTGCGAAGGTTTTAAATACGTTAACGCGGTTATGTAGGCGCATTTTATGTCGTCTGTTCGACAAAGCTGAGGCGGTGAAACAATTATTCCAAGCAAAATAAATGAAAATTACCGCTGGAATCGCCATGCTCCCCGATAATGTAACCATGGATGGAGCTTGCCGCCAGATTTAACTTCTTTCCAAGTATGTGGCGGAAACGGGCAGAATCGAGAACGGTTCCGGAGCCGATTACGCGATTTTGTGGAAAACCACTCAGTTTCCAGGTAACGTGAGTGAGAATGTCCACTTGTAACAGAGAAAAAAGGAACATTAAAAATTTCAGCACATGTACTACTCGACAGCGGCACGACAAAGAATGGCGTGTGAAAATACATGTAAAATATACTGCAGCGAAATGAAAAAGTACCTGGATTTGAAACGACGACGATAACGCACTCCGGACTGTATTTAACAATCTGAGGAACAATAGCTGAAAGACAAAAAGATCAAGTTTTGAAATATCTACGAAGAAGCACCAGCGCTTCTTGCCTGACAACACTAATTTGGATCGTAAAATATTCCGAGTTCAAAGTAGTCATACGAGAAGAATTCATCGGGACCTATTATTAAAAGATAGACAGAATGCCTGGCAGCAGTAACATCGGGAGTTTATGGAGAAGTCACAATTTTTGACAGTCTCGATTTAGGCCTTTCTGTTTTTTGTGTCAAATTTGGGTTGTTTCTTTCGAAAACAAAATGATCATGCTATGCACGGTGTTGATTGCCCCCATTTTCGAAAAAGAGGTATGCTCTACGCGCCCCACAGCGAACGTCAGTTTCACTTAGCGCAGCAGCTATAATCCTAGGTTGAACATATCACAGGCGCTTAAGCAAGATTTGGGAAATTGCAAACTTGTAAAGGACCAGGAAGCTTTCATATACAGTGGGTCTGAAAATTTGAGTGGACAGAGCATTTAGCGCGACTGATCGCTTAAATAAAAAATTAACTAAATTTGTTGACTCATATAGAAACGCATATAGAAACAACATAGCCTGCAAGCAGTTAACTGGCTCGACTAAACTTGCTCCCGACAAGGAAGAAACTAAAGAGAGCGAGCAAGATTTTGATGCGCAGACGTTCGAAAGGTGAATCGAGGGCTTTTGCTTTGGACGGCATATATGCAAGGTGCACGCTAGCAACAGTCACCATTTAAGTTACGAAAACTTTGCCACGGACAAAAAGGGACTAGATAGGAGAATAAAATATCCCGACTCCAATTCGTCAAGTACGGAAATTTTGGTGAAGAGGAGCACACATAATGTTAAAGTCATAAGTTCAAAAATCGGATCCAGAAAAGACAAATATCAGAACCTAGGATCACATACGAATACCGGCTGATGTTTTCTCCAAAGACAGGTCACCAAGGTAATGAGCATAGCGGCTACCTTCGAAAATCATTGTCATCGTTTCTGAATATTCAGCGTAAAAACCAAAAAGAAGCCGGAGAAATTATATTGGTCATAAAAGTGGTAAAGTGCCTCGGGTAAACTTTCAATGAGAAACTCTTTGACTGACACATTCAGCTAGAACCGTTCATTGGGAGCCAGCAACAATAAATTGCCACCTTAACTTTTTTATTGTATTGTTACTTACTTCGTATGACTCGATCATGCCTGATCTGGTCGACTTCGTTCTCATGTACGCGTGACAATTAGCTGCAGCAGGTTTGGACGTCTTAAAAGATTCTCCCTGCCAGCGACGAAGACCGAACGCCGAAAGTTTAAACACCAATTCTGTGTCTTGATTTTAAGTACGTGTCGAGAGCAGCAACAGTAAGTTCAACAATGAGCATGTCCAAACCAACTAAATTATCTTCCCTTGTGGTCTAAGATAACGTCGGTGTACTTCGTCTGAAGGACTATCCTCACGCCATGATGGTAAAATATCTCCAGTTTTCGTTCATCTTCCACGCGCGCAGTCCAACATTCTCCAATTGATCGAAGTGTATCACATGAAACGTAAAACTTCGTGCGGATGGAGATGCGGCATCGGGTATGTAGGAAAGCATTACTGATTGTGGAAACAATGTCACCCCTAGTCTCCCCGTTTTGTACCAACATCGCTCCGAGGTATTCTAAACAGCTTTTTTTTTCAAGTTAACAGCGATTTATCTCAATAAATGCTCTCTCCTGATGGTGGATACAATTTGAAATTACCTTTACCTTTCCAGCATTAACATAAAAGTTGACCGATTCAGCGACCACGTCTACTGAAAGCTCATCAAACGGGATCGATGCTGCTTCGTGTTTGCCAATGGACGCGACTTCAGAAATAAGTCATGCAGAACTCGGATCGTTCTCAGCTATTGCAAGTCTCGTGAAGCAGGTATCACAAAACCGGTAAACTCTCACATGAAGTAGACACAGAATGTCTGGTGGAAACTTGTGGGGAGGACCATGTTCGGGTAACTACTTAAAGTCCGCTCTACTCCTACAGGAAAACGCCTTAACATACATAGTGAATGGATCCAGATTTCCGGCATCAGTAGTTAGTTTACATCCATGCTGCGGTAGGTTTGCAGTATCGTATAATCAAGAGGCCATTATTCCTGGAAAGAGTGGCGACTTCATCCATGACTGACAACGACAACAGCCCGAATTCAAACCATTGATCTTTTCTAGCAAGTTAACTCGAGTAAAATAGTGGTATAATCTCGCGTATTTGTTTAAGTCTGTCACTATTCTGTCTTGTTTTGTGTTTTGTTCGTGGAAAATCAAACAGATAATCTCGACTAGACTGTATAGTGATAATGATGCTTAGGTAAGTTGACAAGTCCTCCGCAGCATAATAAGCGTAATGCTGTATCGATGGCCGATGATTCAAGTTTCAGAATCCCTTCTTACCAGTCAGAAAGGAGAAAAAAGACGTCATGCGGTGTCATTTGCCTCCAATGACGGTTAAACAACCTACAGGTCCCAAGAAACAGCCAAGGGCGCACTGCGAAAACTGCTAGAAAACTTTCGACATTATAAACAAATAAGAATTATTCTCAGTACTCTGAAAAGGTAGAGTCGGCAACTCCATAAGACCGAAATATTATAATCTTTAAAAATTGAACCCGAAAGATACTACGCCCGGGTAACGTAACCCGCTCGTAATGTTGCTCAGAAAAATTTGAACAGACCGCTTCCACAATTAGTGGGAAAAGTGTTAAAACGCTCTCCCTAGACCAACTTGGTTCACATAATAAAAGTACAAATAAAAAGATTGCTAACCAAACAAAAAGATATTGAGTTGCGCCTACTGCCTACGAGAGGACTCACTTTATACTTTATACCTCATACGACTTGATCTCATGATCTTACTTGCCCCTCCAGGACAGCTTGGAAAAACTATACGCGTCTCAACTGTTCATGCCACAACACGTAGACCTTGTAGACGCATACAACTTATAATTAATTACATAGATGTTCTAGAGTATTTTTCGGTGTTCTGAGGTAGTTACACATCTAGTGCAGATGGAAATAATTATATATTTAACGTCTGAGGCTGCTTGATGTCAAAAAATAGCACACAATATCCTGCTTTGCAAAATCTGTTGACCGAATTTACACTGTTTCGTGCTCGTTGCCGTTACGCTCCATCTATACTTTTTAACGTATCTCCGAGTATTACGTTACTGCATAAAATCCGTTTACCGTCTACAAGGCGTCCTCTAAAACTGTGCATTAATAATAACTCGCATATTCTGACTAAGTAGACTCGGAGTGTGCTAAACTGTTTGCTATCCGGTAATAAATAAATTGCTGATTCTGACCAAACCGTAAATCTAGACTATCGTTGTATCCAAACAAAGGAAATTGTCGCGTAAATAATACATGAACACAAAATGAATGACTTACATTTGTATATTTCAAGATTTCGCTGAATAAGATTAAGACGAGATTCACCCTCTTTTTGGCGGACACCAGCAGCGATGAAAACGACATCGGAATGAGCAGAATAACTGTAATCTGAAACATTAGAATGAGAAAATTCCAACCTTTGCCGCCTATAACGTTGCATGTGTCCAGGAACTGAGAACCCTGTTGCATATCGAGCACTTCCCCCATCACTTTGTTTTCATCAGCGTCAATAAGAGCGAGAACATTTGCTATAGACTGCGGATTCGCAAATTATTTAATCACATTGTTAGATACCTTCGTCATGACGGTGAACGCAATAGCCATGCCAACAGATCCAACACCTACTACTGTTACCTTCGTTTTCGGTTTGGTTTTAACATCACTGGCAACTTTGATACAAATTTGCTGTATTCCAGACATGTTTATCACAGTTAAGTGTGCAGGTCCCTCGTTAGTAATGCCCAGCGACAATTGCCACTTTGACTGTACCGCGGCTATCTAAAGGTCGACCTCAAAATGTAATTGAGGTATTAAAAGTTTGCAAAAAGAGGAATAAATATTATTGGAAAAACAAAAAGTAGTTTTTGTTATTTCTCTAAATATTGCAAAAAATTGTACAAATTATGGTCTAATAAACCTAAGTTAAACTTTTCCCAACTTTATGTGTCAACGGTTTTTGACTCTGATTTCTTATACATTATTGTGTAGGTCTATTCTCTTTTGCGCTCTGTTGTGGATCCTTTTCTATACCGTAGAACTATTTCGGAGCTAAAAAGCGTTATTACCATTCTACTCTTCGTGTTTTGTTTGTTTGTTTTGTATTTTTTACGTACTACTTACCAACAAGTGCAATTTCGTTGCTTACTTAATTTTTGGCTCAGTTAGTAACAAAGAGGTTTCCGACTTGTAAGAATTTTAACTCGGTTTACAAAACTTTTGGTAGACTTAAATATACGTGAAACGACCTTTTATACGTTATTTATAGTAGGATCAGATGAAAGTATTGACGCAAACTGAACTATTTCATCTAGTGTTCGTCTCAAAACTACGTTCTTTGATAACGTTTGAATAACATCCCACCTTCCTTACCATACGTATTAACTGCGAACAATTATCTAAGCTTCACTTCGGCAACATGATCCCACAAACTGCAATAGTGACGCTGACACAATTATGAATTCAAACCACACTTTGCCCATTGATGCAACTTTATGTGAGTTTAAACTGCATGCAAGATGTGGTTGCAACTACGACACTGTCTCATGAAATAGGTTAAGAATGATATGAATTTTTGTTAAAGCTCAACGTTTTGTGATTTTTGAATATAAATAGGAAACTCAAGGGCGAAATCCTTCTTTCCTTAATAAAATGACTAAAAGTTATTCACGCCGACTCGATCCAGATGGTAGGAGAATTGCATGCAGCTATCTGCTTTTCATTCGGGATCGTTTTCTAGCAGTTTCATTTTCTTGGGGTGAATTTGTCAAAATAGTCGGTAACAGAAGGTTCCTCAAGTCAAAAGTCAGTAACACCAATTATGTAGAACAGTGAACTGTAAAAAGAAGCTAACAAAGGGCTCTGTAGAAACAAGCTGCTCACAGTACATAAGCATGTTGACGTTTGTCCGAGTTTTGTGTTTTGCGCAGGGTTTGAGGCGACTCCTGACCTATCCTACAACCAATGAGGAAATGGGTCACGCTGATTGTGGAACGCCATACACGGCAGGTCAGACATGAGCGTCCGGGGTAAATGCAAGCAGACATGACTAACTGGCACGATGAAAGCACGATGAGTCACGGACAGTCATATGCGGGCCTACAGCATGGCAGGGGAGAATAAGTTTCAACGCAGAGCTGATCGCAGGACCGTAACAAATTTCCCAACTGAACTGGCAGACCACTTTGACTAGCTTAGGTTCATAACACCTGAACGGGATTATGTGTGTTCGTTCATTTAGGCATAGGAGGCTTCTGAAGGAGGCAGTAATGGTGACTGAAGTTACATGGGAACGCTTTGAAAAGACGTGGACGGCGTCTATTATAACAATATAATTTAATATGAAGGGCACTTAGGAGGGTGCTTTCTCGTGATCTGTGCAGTATCTTGTTGAAATTCTCGTGGAATCACAATATATCTACAGCATCTCTTGCCTTAGGATCTAAAAAGCATGCAACGATGACACGGTGTCTCTTGTCGAGTACTCGGTCCCTGCTGCTCGGTCGTAGTCGTCCACCCTAATGAGCTGTTAATAAGATGCCGATTGGGCTGTTGGTTCACGTATAGATGGACAAGTTTCAATGAAGCAAGGAATCTAACACGCAGTTCGGCAGGTGGAGGCAGCAAACCGACTCATCAGACAAGTGACTGTCGTCCGGCTTTTGTAGAATCAGCGGGGTTGCTTTCACGCGTTTATACCTTGACCACGTTTGGCCAGTCATTTAAGGATGCAGTGCAGATTTTTGTGGCGGTTTCACCACGCCAACGCACCTTCACGAGCGCCAAAGTAGCTTATTCGTGGGGAGTGTGAGGCAATCTAAAAGCGGCAGGAGTAAGCAGGTTGGCGAGCATAAGGACGGAGTGCTGCGGTCTCCAAAATTCACATAAACTCAGCGTTCGGCGTCGCCGCAGCAACTGCTTATATCTAAATACCTGAATGTTAGGATAGTCAGTAAAACCCACTCCTCGACCATT